TATGCTGCTTCCCTAAAATCTAAGTTGCATGGATACCGCTATGTGCATAGGTAAGAGTACGGGACATGACAAATGTAAAAGGTAGGGATCATAGGCTATGGGGACATATTTGAAATGCATGGCTGCAATCATAGATCTAAACTAGATACATAAATGACCCTTTGAAATAGTAGTTCTGAACTGATTATGAATTGAAACAAGCCCGATCCTTGCCTATCAAGTTTCAGAAAGTGGAGGGGAAGTGCATGACATCTATGAAGCACGGACACACATAACATGAAGCCGTGTCGTGTCGTGTCCGTGTCGGACACACGTGTCGAACACACGTATCCTATGTATTTTTTAGGATTTGCCTCGTGTTGGCGTGTCGGATGGCCGTGTCGGATCCGTGTCCGTGCTACATAGCATGACATATGTTTAAGAAGTGCATGTCGAGTGTTCTAGATTCAAATGTGCATTATGTGATTGGAGTGCGCATCTGAATAAATGCATATATAAATCAAGGAGTGTCCAAGAAGTGTCGGTGTCTATGTAGGACACGACCAAAACATATGGGCTAGAGGGTTTCTTTTCTAGAAACCACCTTTACAATAGGGTAATTGTACATAAACCACTTTTGATTGTCAATTAATATTTATCTTCCTTTAAACGGGTTTTGTGTTGCAATTAACCACTTGGACCCACTTTTCGTTTAAATTTTCTCGGTAATTGACCCTATATAACTTCCGTTGAGGATCATCTGTCGAATGTATTTGGTATTTGACAGCTAATCATTATAGAAAAACTGACAAGGTTTAACTGAAAAGTGTGTCCATGTGGCTAATTGCAATAGAAAACCCCTATAAAGGTTGTTTTTGTATTAATTTATAATAAAAAGTGGTTTTTGTATAATGACCATATTTTAAAGGTGGTTTGTAGGGGAAACATGTGCTGAAATCATTGTTCTAAACTAGATATACAAATACCTTTTCAAATCATAGCTTTGAACTGAGTATAAGTTGAAATGAACCTGATTCTTGTCCAACAAGTTTTAAGAAGTGGAGGTGAACGGCAGGATATATGTCTAAAAAGTGTATAGCAAGGATTTTTAATTAAAACATGCGTTATATAATGGAATACGCATATGAATAAATGTATACATACAACAAAAAGTGTCGGTGTCCGGCACGGGTAGAGGACATGTTGGATATGGTTACGAGTTCATGATAGAAGTACCCATGCAATGTAGCCTAGAATTGATGTATAGATGCTTCAGGGTTATTGTGATTAGCCTTATTTTCTACAGTAACAGTGAAAGAAGTTAAAAACTGATTTTCTTGATATGGATTTAACTAATAGTTTAATTTTTTCATATCATTAATTCAGCTTAAGGATCTTACTTTTAATATCAAGAGAGGTTCATATATAACTTTTTCCTCAATCAGATCTCAATATAGCTTATACTAGAATATACAGCAAGTCTATGTCTAAGTCTATTTAAGAAAGCATCATTTAAGTCTATTCAAGAAAGTGTATTTTAATTCCCATAGTTCAGGATTTAAATATTTGATCTGTTTTCTACTCGTTACGTGTGAAAGTGCTGAATAGTAATACATTATGCTTCAGATTTATTTGTGCAGAGTCTGCAGAACCCTAAGCCTTCAACTAGAAACAGGGGCACAATTCATCTTATCACCTGCAATTTTTTTTAGAAAGAGATTTGAGTGAATGGTCATGGACAATTTTAATTCTCAATTTTTCTTATCCTGATCAACCCAATTTAAATCTTCATTATTATTTTTGGATAAATTTTTTTTTTCTGGCAACAACTACTACTACTAGTAGTCTAGTACTATGTAATTGTAATCGCCACCAAAACAACCACCACTGTAATAGGTTAGCCCGAGAATCCTGGCACACATTTATGATATTTATGATTGGATGGTCTCAACTGTGCACCAATAGCCCTCTGCTTCAGCACTTACGGGATAAATTATACGCTTACACTGGTCAAGCAATTATATGCTTACACTAGTCCAGCAGTCACTTGCGGTTCTTTGTAACTATTGTATGGAATAATATACTGATCTGAAAATATTGTCTTTAATCCATATGCAGAGACCTTTGTTCGAGCTGACGGGGCATTTATTCCCTTTTCTGACGATTTTGACATGTCAACAGTCACCACTTTAGTGAAGGGAGTTGGTGACATTGGAGATGTCAAGGTTATAGATTTACAATCTCCAATAAATAGCCTCATTGGAAGACAAGTAGTGAAAGTTGGAAGGAGCTCGGGTCTCACCACTGGAACAGTAATGGCTTATGCTCTTGAATACAATGATGAGAAAGGCATATGTTTCTTTACTGACTATCTTGTTGTCGGTGAGAACCACGAGAGTTTTGATCTTGAAGGTGATAGTGGAAGCCTCATCATTTTAACTTCGAAAGATGATGAGAAGCCTCAGCCTATAGGGATTATATGGGGAGGGACAGCAAATAGAGGGAGGTTGAAGCTTAAAAGTGGTCATGGTCCTGAGAACTGGACTAGTGGGGTTGATCTTGGCCGGCTTCTTGATCTTTTGGAGCTTGATCTCATCACAACGAATGAAGGACTTCAAGGTTTATGCTTCTCTTACCTTTTAAAACTGCTCTCTCTCTCTCTCTCTATATATATATATATATATATATATTAATGGTATTCGCTTGGTCATAGGAGGGATTTCCTGCCTTGAACGCCTATGTGGCAGAATGCCCCCATCCTCATAAAGTAGGAGAGAGAGTGTGAGTTGATGGAGATTGTGCCTAACTTTATAAGGATGGTGAAGGAAACCGCATAGCAAACAAGAAGGTAACATCCCCTCGCTATGACAAGGATACACGACATTAATCTCATATATATATATATAATATATATATATATAATATATATACATTATATATATATATATATATTATTATATATATAAGCATCTGCATCACATTACGAATGAAGGACTTAAAGGTTTTATGCCTCATCATACCTTTTAAAACTGTCTCCTCTCTTTCTCTATTAATATAAGTTATTATATATATATATATATATACTATATATATATATATATCATATATATATATGAAAAATGAATCTAAGGTGACACCCTAGGCTCCCACCTAAGGACGCGGCCTAAAATCCACATCATTTTCAATTTTTTTTGCGATCGCCTCGTTAAACTTGATCTACACGTTCTTAAACCAAACACACTAATTTTGGGGTGAACCCGTCGTGTTTTGACCTTTATCCACTCGCTGTAATTTTAACGGTTTCGAATGAAATAGAACTTTTTAGCACTGCTCAACGAATGGTCTAAACACAACGGTTCACCCCAAAATTTGTGTGTTTGGGTTTAAGAACGTGTAGATCAAGTTCAACGGAAAACGGATCGCAAAAAAAAAAAAAGGAAATGATGGTGATTCTAGGCGCACTCCTTAGGTGAGGAGCTAGGGTGTCACCTTAGATTCACTTTTGCCTATATATATATATATATATATATATATATATTTATTTTGGTGTTAAGTCATTGCTTTGGCTGCCAGCTTCTTTATTAGCTGAATAGTGAATATTATCTGACTAAATCAATTCTAACAAACTATTTTAACTCGCATTAAATTAAGGACTAATTAAACCTCCTGTAGTGTCATGATTTTGAACTTACCATCTAGTTTTATTTTGCAGATAGACCCCCTGAGTGAATTTTTTTGACTCTTTTACTCAAGGAAAGGAAATTGTTTTTTTACAAATAGACCCCTTTAAAAGAGTAAAAAAAATCATTCAGGGATCTATCTGTGAAATAAAACTTGATTGATAGTAAGTTCAAAACAGTGATACTACATGGGTCAATTCGCAGTTAACCCTCAAATTAATTAGCTTCTTTCTGGTAAGCTTTTTGTCCATGAATAAGAAATATGAAAAACTTGCTCATTACTGATAAATGATATCAACCATATCATTTCAGCAAATTTGTGTTCTATTAATTACTTCAATAATATAATTATGAAATTGCATATTTTATGGAAAAATTTGCCTATATTGGCAAATTTTTCCTGCAGTTTTGGAATTTGATTCCCTCTTACCGAGTTCTCAACTTTTTACAAAATTAGAATACTGAAGATGGGGCTAGGAGGTCTTACCTTGAAATTCAACTGATATATTTCTACATCAAACATTCATATTTGTGCTGAAATTCTGATACCATTTTGGTTATTATTAGTCAGCGGTACTTTCAAATTTTCAGCACCTTCACTTATAGTGATTGTTGTGTCTATACTGAAATTTTAGTTGACCCTTTTCTTTTTGAGTTTTATATTCTGAATATTCCACAGAACTTTTTCCTAAGTCTAAATGAGCTTCCTGAATTATTCATTGAACTCCAAAGTTTGGTTTATTGATCCATGAAAAGAAAAATAATGTGACAGATGACCAACATCACAAGTTACCATCTGAGATTGCTACTTACCATCTGTTTCTTCTAATAACAACTTCATTTCCTTCTACTTTTCATGATCACAGAGGCAATTCAAGAGCAGCGGATGGCTTTAGCGGCAGCTGATTCCACTGTCGGAGAATCATCCCCTAAACTATGCACTCTGCAGAAGGAAAATACCAAAGAAATCTACCAGCCTTTGGGCATCAATATCGAGGAACTCCCTCGTGATGAAGCTACTGGCTCAAAATCAGCCCCCCAAAATTTCACAAATTTGGAGTTCCAAGTTGCAATGGATGTCTATAATAAAGTAGAAGAACATAGTTTTATTAGCATGTCCCCAGTTCATAAAAGTCAAGAAGAGAACAAAGAGCTTAAGTCTCTCTCAACATTAAGGAACTCAGATGATGAAGAAGACCTCTGTGTTTCTTTGAGGTTAGGGGATGATCGAGAGCCTAAAAGGCAGCGGTCTGAGCCTTTAGATTGTAATGGCTCACCTAAATGAAGAGATTATTTGATGATTTGGTTCCAATTTGGACTGGAGATTTTTTCAATATTTCGGCTCAACGATCATTCTGAGATTAGTAATTTAACCAGTTGAGGGTTCTTTAGAATTTCATGTTTTAATCTTTAGAGTGAATTTGAGTTCCATTTTGTAGATCGAACTCGTATCGAAAAATTAGTAGTATATTTAACTTGGGCTTATGGATTCTTCTTAAATGAAAATGTTGTCACTTGAGTTTTCGTTTTGGATGTGTAGCTCTCCGTTGTTAGCATCAGAGATCAAATCCTCAACTTTAAAGTTCATCTGGAAAAATTGTTCATGACAGATGGTTGACATGTTGTTTATCTTTGATTGTGCTTATGTTCGATATAAAATCTAATAAAATTTTCCCAGAGTGTTCAATTAATATGATGACCATATTTCGCGATATGAATTTTGAGAGGAGGATTCTTTTTCCAAGTACATGCCAGGACAAAGGAGGAGGTTACATTATGATTTAGAAACATCGATGATTTGGAAATTTGTGATCATGTCTTTGTGTTCGTTATATTTTTCTCTGTTGTTTTTTCATGGAGCTGAAGAAATTATGATTTAGAAATATCGATGATTCGGAAATTTGTGATCATGTCTGTGTTTGTAATATTTTTCTCTGTTGTTTTTTCATGGAGCTGAAGAAAGAATGATGATATCTTCTATGGGTAGCAAGGGTTTACACGTGCGCACAAGGGTTGGAAATTTTTTTAAGAAAAAACTGGTCGCATTTTCTCATTTGACTGATATTATCATCAGTGACCCAAGTCTTGTACCAAAGAAATTCCAAATGCATGCGGAGGCGAATGTTCCTTTTCTTATCATCACCTGTCAGCCTCCTTGTGAACATTATTTGTATAGAAGTTTATGATCAGTTCGTTGTCAATTACGAGATCATCCTGAGTTCTTGCTTGAGAGATGAGGTAGCTCAAAGTATTGGAAACAACCATTAGAATCTTATCAAATCATTATATATTAATGTGGATTTGATGATTGACACTGCCAAAGTGCAAAGGAAAATGAGAAGCTTGAAGCTTACATTCATGGATCATCTGTACATAAAGCCTAAAATTTTGGCACTAATAAAAGACAAATAACTAGGCTATTTGTCGAACATAATGATCGTGAGAAGAAAGAACATGTAACGCTGGAAGTAATTTTGTGGATACAGTTTCATTGAGAACAATTTTTCAAAACAGCCCCAAACAGATTTTTATTTTTCAAAATCGACCCTTTTTTTTATTTACCAAAACCGACCCGTTTTTTGATTAGCAACCTAATCACCCTTCTAAACAGTCTGGGTTGCTAACCCCGACTATTTAGGAGGGTGTTAAACTCCAATTAGAAGCCTTAAACCCTGACAATTTATGTCCTAAATAGTCGGGTTGGCAACCCCGACTATTTAGGAAGGTGATTAGGCTGCTAATAAAAAAAAACGGGTCGGTTTTGATAAAAAAAAAAAAAAGGGTTGATTTTGAAAAATAAAAATTTAAATGGGGCTGTTTTAAAAAATTGTTCTTTCATTAAGACCGTAGACAAGGGCCTTTTTTTGTCCAACTTTTCAGATAAGGGCTTCTTTTCTTTTGAAATAGACATGGATGAAGTAAGGGTTCTTCTACTTTCCTCAATGAACTTCTTAATGTAACATTTGAGAGTATATCCTTTCTTGGACATAGACGAGAGATTAGTACTGAGGTATAACAGTTGACTAGAAATATGTGGTGTGTGTCTATATATACCTTTTTGGATCTTCCTCAATGTTCCGGCTATGCACGAAACATGAGAAGCAGATGAACAATCATCTGCTTCTGAAGGAAATCGAAGAATTTATTAGAAATCCTACAAGATCAATTCATTGATTTTTCTCTAACAGATGGTCAGAACTTCATCTGCGTTCGAATTCTACTGAGAGGTCCACTAGAGATCATAAATTTTTGAAGAAAAAATGACCCCAAAATTATAGGGGCCAAGGTTGGCCAGTGAGAGGATGGGGGATAAGCTTCATCGTCGAGAGGCAAACAACCTGGATCACCAGCTAAGGCCCTAAATGACCGCTCAGTGATAAAGGGCAGAGACAGCCAGGAGGTTTGCCTTGAAGCAGCTACACTTGAAAGAGTACGTAATAGCTCACTGATCGATCGCTGTTGCACATAAGATGAACGGGGCTAAGCGATCTGTCGAAGCTGTCAGATGTCAAAATGCATCGATAGGGGAGCGTTCTACCTTAGAGAGAAGGGCCTGCACTGATCGTAGGTCATATCCATGGGGATCAACTTGAAGGGTATCCATGTCCCAATCATGGGCTGGTCTCAATAAACACTGTTTCCACTATGACGGGATAGCAAACAACAAGAAAACTCCAATCCCACACGCATTGCAGTTTCCTGCTTTTTTTGGAGGGCTGTGGGGATGGAATAGCCATAACAATTTGATGATTGGAACATTTTTCACCATAGCTATGTGAAGCTATATGACTCAGCATCGCCAAGAAGGTTACTGTTTGGTGGCGTTTGACACGGGACACCACTTGGTTCCTACGGTTCCTGGACATTATTCACTCTAGCACACCACACCATCATTGGTTGAGTACCAAGTTAGTGGATCCGGGATTCGGGTTTACTGCCTATGCTACCTTGGGTTATTATATTGTTATGGGAGATGTGGGGGTGGCAGCTACGTACCAGAAGATGGTGGTCATTTTCGACGATTTAGATTTCAAAAGTGACCTGCTATATATATATACTGAATCCCCAGCTGGCCATCGGGGACTGAGTGGTAAGGCCATGATCTGCAAGGGAACGGATCACTTGTTCTTCATTTAGGGGCAGGTGCACGAACGACAACTCCAACCGCCACACATCCGCCGTCTACCTACCATTTAGGTGGCACCAGCGAGATCCAGCTAAGGTAAGGAACTTCGTGCCGCGGCTGCTCCACTCCGTTGTGATCTCTTGAACTAAACTTTGTTCCGCACACGACGAAATTTTTTTTTTATCTTTAGCACGCAATTCATATTTTTTACGAAATAGATCATAATAAAATTCATGTACTAGGGAGGATTCACTTTAGAAGCGACTGTTCCCTAGGTACCTACATTGTGGTATTCCACGATTGAATCCATTTAATAAAGACCTAAAGTTATAGATTTATCAATAGGTAATGTTGCTTCAACACGCATCCAAAGAGCTACTGCAGTACCGATTAAAAAGACTGTTGTAGCTACCGGACGACGAAATGGATTTTGGAATTTATTAACATTCTCCAAAAAGGATATTGTCGATAATCCTATTTGTACTGAAACCATTAAAAGAACACCCAGTAACTTATTGGATACTGTGCGGAGTATTTGAAATACGGGAAAGAATTGCCATTCGGGTAATATTTCCAATTGAGTTGCAAATGGATCTGCCGGTTCACAAATCATGGATGGTTCTAGGATTGCTAATCCTACATTAAATGCAATACTACCTAGAATTACTACTGAAAAATATATAAAAGATCATTTGGCCATGCAGGAACTACGATATTAGGTTTTGGTGGCATCTCATCTCTTTCTTCTATCCCAAATTGACTGCCTAAGTCTAAGTCAAGCACGAAATCAGTTGTGGTCAATCTCCCAAAGTAGGCACCAAGCAAGGGAAGAGAGTGAGTGACTTACTGACCTTATAGGAGTGAAGTTGCGGGTCTACACCCTAGTTGTACACTCCATTCGTCCTATGAACCCTTGTTGATTCTGAACTTCATTCGTGAAGGAACTGGACTTTTGATGGGCTAGCCCTTTTTGATGTGCCACTTTATCCTCGAAGGAAAATGAGCTTTGCCCTTCTAGGCGCTGGGAGCTCCCATGGGTCGTGAGAAGGAAAAAGAACTAATCTTTTGTTGCATCAGTCACAAGATGAAAAAGAGAGAGCTCCGTCTATCCGCTGCTCATCGATAGACAGAGCTCTTGGAATTACTTTGTTTTTCTGGTAAAAAGTGAGGAATTCTTGTCGATTAATACAATTAAATATGTATGATAAATAAATTCTTTAAATCCCTTTGCTTGCTTTGTTTATACTATTTTTGCGGGATGTATAGAATTCATTACTTGTCATTTCGGGATGTGAAAGCATATGTCTATCTATAAGGACAGTGTGTTTCGAGGTGTGAAGGGGGAGAGAAGAGATGTCATATTTCGGGTTTTGAATAAGACGACCTTTGCATTTTTGATGTGTGTATGTGTGTGTATATGTGTGTGTCTATATATATATATATATATATATATATATACGAAAAATGAAGAATATACACAAATTAATAAAAATATATTGAAAAGGAATACCATAGAAGTGTCAAATGAAATGTTTATGTTATTAATTGATTTAATTTAAAATAGCATTGGTAGTTGACAATAATGGTTTGTTGCATGGTTTTAACTTCCTAATGTAAGAAGTTTGATAGGGGCTATATCTAGTTAAGCGATGTGAGATTGTCAAAATATTTAACATGCAAGAGGGGGCAAAAAAAAAAAAGGAAACTGAATAGCACCTAGTTAATCAAATAAGAATATCACAAGATTTTGCAGCCAGACAAATTTTTATTTTCAACCATGTTTGAAATTTATTTAGTATTTCAACCTACTTTGCATTTATTTATCATTTTCGACCTAGTTTCAGCCACCTAGCAGAAACTGGGTCGAAATTGATATATAAGTGTAAAAAACTGTAAGGGATTTAGAATTCTATTTTGTTTAGTAGAAAATTAAACTATACGAGATTCTCAATACTGTGGAGTTTAGAACTAGGATAAACTTTGTTGGATATTTTTGGTCAAAACCGCTTTCCAAAAATTAGTTTTCAAGCTATGTATTTATTAACTACTGGTATTTTTCAGAAATCCTTAGTAGCGTGGTGGAAAGTTAAAATTTTGATATCTCAAAGGTCCTGTGTTCGAGGTTTGCCAATAGCAAGCCAAGAATTATTTTTATTTAATTAATCCCTCATAAGTTCTAGCGGGTCGTGGGCCGTGGGGCAGTAGGCTCGTGGGCCATGAGCCAATAGGTTGGGGATCGGGGCTAATCGGGCTGAGGTGCTAAGTGGAACTTTATTAGGCGCACTTTGCAATACGCATGAAGGCATTGGGGCTAGGTGGTGCCACGTTGGCTACCACGCAGAACTGCCTTGCGTTCGCATGAGGGTATGACCTTCGCGTTCACAAGAGGGAATGCGACCCTCGTGTTGCTCAGGATCGCGATGTTCAGACGTTACTGCATGCATCAATTACAACATTTATG